ATTTACAAAACAACACAATATTCATACAGTGCTATTATGAGTACTTTATATTTATTAGCTTAATTAAGTCTCAAAAAAAACCCTCTAATGACAAAGAGAGACACGGAGAAGCTAAGTGACTTGTATGTGCCTTCCAGGCACTAGAAGGGAGACCTGCATCTGAATGTATGCACCTGGCCCTGGGGACGGTACTTATCACCTCTGGGCTATGGTGTCTTGCGTTTCTTAACACTTAGTGATGTCTTAGGTCTTAAAAGGTGCTGACCTCCAAGGTGTCTAAAAATTAGCATTTTTAGACAGACTAGCAGCTTCTTGATTCCTGTTCTAAGTCCAAAGCATTTCTCCTCTGTGAACTTACCGGACAGTGTCTCGGAGAAAGACAAGCTCTCATTTTTCCCCTGCCACACCACCAGAAACAGCTCATGGCATGAAAGTCTCAAAATGACCGCTAGGTGGTAGCATTAACTCAAAGATGGATGGACAGATACCGACTTCTGGCCTTGAACTAACCGGAAAGTCAGAATTGGCCTCTCTCTTCTCCTTTCTTTATTTCTCTAAAACTTCAGTGTATACCTACTTGTAAAGTCACTATTTGATTTCATAAGAATCCAGATTAGTCAAGGGGGAAGTATTCTTCCAGCAATGAAGAGCCTTTGGAAGGGAAAAGAAAGAAGATAATTCAGTGCTATGAGGAACTGATGACGCTCTCGAGATTACCGACTGATTTAAGTTATCCTTTTAGTAAGTAACAGATTCTAAGCCATTGGCCCAAATTCAGACTGTTCCATGTTACCATGTTAATAGTCTCTATCCATAGGCTGTTTAATTTTTTTTAATGTAAAAATTAAATTTTTAAAATGTTAAATTTTAAAATTTATCACTGATAAATAGAAATACTAAATTATGTTATAGAGCCAGATGTTTTGGCTACATTGTCTCAGTAGTTAGGGCGTTGAAGCTACAGGTGAAGTTTTCTCTTTTTCCCCTACTTTCCCCTCCCCCTCCCAGTGCTCTTTCTCCTCTTTGGTTTTCTTCTATTTTTTTCTTCTTCTCCCTCCTTTCTCTCTCTTCCTCTCTTTAGTTTTTCCTTTGGTTGTGTTGATCCTCTACAAAGACAGGGAGGAAATCTAGTCTCTGGGGTCAGGATATTAGATGCTACAAAATTCCAAGTGTGGTACAAAAATATCCCTGGCTTCCTACCACCTAGCCTGCCACCTACTTGGTCTCTTCTCTTTTTCTTATTAAAAAAATAATGTATTCTAACAGGAAATTCTTCCATGAAAATAGTTTTATGAAAGAAAAAAAAGTAAATAAGCTCCGCTTTTGTAGCTGCCTTTAGTGAAACACGTGTTTGGGAGTCCCCATGGGACACAGGACCCTTTTCTGGATCTGGAGAGCACCCCATCTTTGCTGCTCGGAGACAGCAGGAGGAAGAGACACAGTGTGAAAGGACGGACCCTGAGTCAGACAGACTTGAGCGTCATCTCTTCACTTGCTGAACGACAACCTGTTCCAGGTTGCTCTGCTGTATGTACATGCTGCTCTAGTCCCAGAATCAGTCCTTTCTCCAAGGAGTCCTGGTTCTTTTTACGGAAAAATATTTTTAGGAACCAAGATCTGAGTGCTAGATCTTGGTTCCTAAAAACTTTTAGGAACCAGGATCTGAAAACCTTCTGCTGAGGTTTTCACATCTGTAAAACTGGAAATATAATACGCTGCTCATAGATGTGTGTGGGCGTTAAGTGCACGGACACACCTAACAAGGGCTGAAATGTAGACGGCACCTGATGTATGATAGTTCAGTGGAGGCTGAAACGGAATCTTTTGCTTTCTGTAAGCTCCGTGTTAAACTGAAGTTCATTTAAAACCAAGTTGATTGGGAAAATTTTTTCCGAAAATGTTTTGCTCCACAAACTCCTTGGAACTTGGGGCTCTTTAGTCAGAGAGGGGTTTAGGCAAAGTAGAGATTCTGACGTGTGTCATCTATATTTGGCATTTTTAAATTTCTCCACATTTTGTTTTAGAGCAAGAGCCAGATCCCAATAACTCACAGGAAGTCTTCTGTGGGCTGAGGTGGCGGGGGAGGGTTGGACCCTCCAGCCCCTTTGAAGGCATTTTTTGATGGGACTTGGTCATCAATCATTTTCACCTGAAGAATGGGTTTCCCCTGAGCCTTTGAGGCTCTTCCGTGATGTGATGTCATAATGTTTCATTCCCTCAGGAAAGAACCCCCTGATTTGCTTATTTGTTTGACTGTCACTGAACAAACCTTGGGTTGCCTTGGGGTTGAAACCCTAAGGATCTTCCCTCCAGGGGACCCCAAATCTTCATAGATGCCAGCCTCCCCCAACCCTGGCCCTCAGACCTCCCACACAGTTTGGTACTGTCCACTCAGGCTCCCAAACCAGCTGCAACAGCAGCTGAAATGCCTTTGTGCTTTTATCCCATGGCCTCAGGAAATCTTTTTGCTCTTTGAAATCTGAGGTCCTCGGAGACCAAACAGCTTTTCTTTTTCTTTTTCTTTTCCAGACTTCAAAAAGTCCAGTAGTTGAAGTCAGCTCTAAATTGAGATCTCACACTTCTCAAGGAACCAGGTATGTTTTCCCTGACCTTTTTAAAAAGCAGCATTCCTCACACTGTGGGTAGACATGATGGGTTTGACTAGGAGAGAAGGGCTCAGAAGTCAGGATAAAATGACTCAGTTCCATTTTCCCCCCTCTCCTCTGCCACATCTCATAAAAAATTGAGATACAGTGAGCCTCCCATAGGTCATTTCAGGTCACGTTTTCTTAAACAGAAAAGGATATACTCATTGCTAGACAGAATGGTTGCTATCAACTGGTGTTAATACAACCCAGGAACCAAGTTCATCTGATCAGCAACAGTTTAATAATAAGATAAGTAAATTAGTTTGTATCGAGTATCCTCCATTGACCACACAGTGACTTGATTTTTTTTCCCCATATTTGATCCTACTAATCCTCTATTGATGGAAACAAATGGACTTAATTGACTTTCTTGTAGTCCCATGGATAATAAGCATTAAGCCATTATTCTAATTCAACTGTTGGGCTTCTTGTCCATTCATTCATTTAACAAATATTTTTAAGCCTGCTCTGTGCCTGGTGCTAGTCCAGGCTGTGAATGATGCTGACTCACAAAATGGTGACAGACCTTGTCTCTTTTGTCACAGAATCTAGTCTAATAGTTTTCTGTTGAGAGGCTTCTTTGCACCTCCCCAAATGAGATGTGATTGCTGAGGGGTGAGATGGGAAATTCTTCAAACTTCTTTAGAAACTATTTTGATAGAACTTTTATTTCCATACTCTCTATCTTGGTGGCATAGACTTCTATAATCCCCTAAGATTTAATGTTTTCAGTTTTCAACGGTTTCTCATTTGTTATTAAATAAAGCATCATAATGTGTATTATCTTTAAATATTTAAAAAATGTCTTTGCTCTGTCAAGGCTCCCTGTGACATTTATTCTCAGACTGTGCAGCAAAGCTTGGCCTTGGCAGGATGTGGGTGGGAAGGAAACACGCCAGCAGCAGAAGCTGCAAGATTTGGGTGGGGGCTCTGCAACCCTTCAGGGATGGAGCTGAGCAAAAGAAGCCTTTCCTCTCTCTGCGTGATTCCAGATTTCTCTCTGCTGCTCTGGATCCAGACACATTTATTAACAGTGACTGCAGTACATAATGGAAAGAGTTGTCCATCAAGAGGACACAGACACTGCCTTGAATGTTAATTGCTGATGTATGAAGAGGGCAGGCTAGGGCAGTTCTACCTAGGAAGCGTGTGATAACTGCTAGCAATCAGACCTACAGCTTGGGTGAATGTGATCGGGTGGTCAGTATTAACCAAGGAAATTAACTGAACAAGCATTTGAGAAGGTGTTTAGAATAGAATTCAGAATCCATGACTTCCATTCTTGGAGTTTTCCCAGGTCATTGATTCCACCTTGTGTTGGAGAAGAGGTGGGTTTATGAGGCAGGAGGGTGAACATACTCTTTAGCTGAAGAGCCACAGTAGTGGGCAGCTAGTTTTCCCTTCTTGGACTCACCCACCAGTGAGCATCAATGCTAGGCTGGAACTCTAGACCTTGAACTCGCTACGTTATCTCACATAGATAGAAAACATGTTAAGTATGCTATAAAATATATTACACAAAATATGTAACTCACAGAATTGCTGTGACTACATGAAGAAGTGAAAACAGAGTTTTATGAACTCTAGAAGAGTGGTTCTCAATCAGGGACACTTGTTGCTGTCCCCCATCTCTGCCCCAGGGAACATTTGCTAGTGTCTATAGACAATGCTCGTTGTGACAGCTGGGGAAGGGAGGTGTTACTGGCATCTAGTGGACAGAGGCCAGGGATACAGCTAAACACTCTACAATGCATAGGACACCTTTCCCTGTCCTTCATACCACATCCAGCCAAAGCACTGTCCAGTTGTAGTATCAGCAGAGTCTGGGTTGAGAAATTCTGCCCTGTAGCATTGTGTAGATGTTGCAGCTGAGTAACTGTGTGACCTGGAAGGGCACAATATACCTCAGTTTCCTAATATGGAAGATCAGGAAACTGCTTGTCACAGATAATAGGAGACTATGTCTGTCAAATTAGAAAGTGACACACATGCCAAAAGTCCAAAGGAAAAAAAGTCAGAAGGATTGGATAAATGTGACATAAAGTCCTGCTGGTTGGAAAGTTCATTGGTAGATTATTGGGTGGAAATCTACTAACAGGCAAGAAGCAGATAAAAAGTACACAATTCTCAGAGTTTATCCTGAAGAAAAAGAGATGCATGCAAGTGTATTCACTGGAGCATTGTTTTTAGGGTGAAACATTGGGAATGAGCCGTGGGACATCATCCTGGTTCCTGATCAGCAGTGGTTCACAAGCTGGCTGAGCCAGTTCTTAGGACACCAGCCAACACCTGTGTACTCATTGTCCTGGCAGGACAGGACAGGGCTGCCCCCACCCCGTTTTTTGTGGTATGGAAAAGGCTCCTTGCCAATCTGATCACATCAGTTGCTTTCCAAGGTAAGCCAAGGTCAAACAGCTGAACCATTTTTTTTTCCTTCTAGTCCCTTGATTCTCCCTTTCCTTTCCCCATGCCTTTCCCCTCTTCCCTGGTCTCAGCCTATTTCCAGCCACTCTGGGACCAGGGACGAGGGAGCCTGTAAACACGACGGGAGACAGACAGTGCCCTAGAACTAGGACTTCAGCCATTCTCCAGGTCTTGCCCACCCCCACTCTCACTTAACTTCTGAATATTTCTCATACCACAAGTCTAAGCTAATATTTTGGCAGGAAAACAGGGATCCAGCTAGACAAGAGAACAATCAGCTGTTTGTTGTAGAGTTAGCACGAAAAATTGTTTCAGCCCTTTGCCATTGACGTTCTATTCAATTTTAATCAAATATTTATTTATGTGTACAACGGGCCATGGCAGACTGAGTGGGCCAGAGGGGATGAAAACAGTCTCTGTCCCAAGGGGCTTAGGGCCCTTTTTGGAGCTGGGTAGTTGTCCAACAAATCATGTGGTAATCAACCAAAACTCCAGTGCTTTGAGAAAGCAGAGAAGGGAGGACCTACTTATAACCAGGACCAGCGACAAAGAATTCTAATAGGAGGCCTGCATGTAAATATATAATTATGAATTTCAATTAAATCACTATTGAAAGATAAACTCACAAAGGCATTACATGATGTAGTTCAGAGCTCTGGATTTAATATCAGACAGACTAAGGTTTTCATTCCACTTCCAACACTAACCAGTTATGTGACTTTGGAAGTAGTTATGTTATTTTATTATTACTACTATTTTATAGTAATAGCTCTCCAGTCCCCATCTAAAAACTACTACATTTTAGGAGCAGATAGCAGCCAGAAAAAGGAGACCAAGTATAACATAGACTGACAGCTGCAAATAATCTAATGAAAAAGCAAAATGCTCTGTTTGCATATTTTAGACTACGGGGCACTGTTTATGAAGGTGACAAATTGGGAATGAGCAAGTGGAGTATTTTCATCTGTACAATTACTCCTCATGTAAAATGAGGAAAATAATAGCACAAAACCAATGAGTTGGTATGAGAATTAAATAAGTTAATCAGAAGTAAAGCCCTTGGAGCAGTGCCTGGGATATGGTGAACTATTATTATGATTAATACCATGTAATTGTATGTGCATGGAAAAATGTCAGGAAATCTTCATAGAGACTATATTCTTGGGAGTGAAATAAGAAGGCAAGGAATGAGGGGTTTATATTTTTTTACTTTATACTGTTTTCTTTTTTAAATATTGAATAAATAAAATCTTAAAAACTATGCTAGGAGACCCATCGTAATTTGTTTTATATGTTGTGAACAAGTAGAAAAATTCAAGCTCTGGCTGCATGAGCCTTGAATTCCAAAGGTGTGAACTTCGATTCTGACCTCTACTAATTAGGTTATTTCAGTCAATATTAAGCTCCCCAAGCCTTGCTTTTCTCATCTATAAAATGGGCATACTAGCATCTACCTAGCAGGATTAAATGCTATTATACAATGGAAAGGTCAAGCATGTGCCTTACACAAAATACATTCTCAGTACACACACACACACACACACACACACACACACACTTTCTGCTCTTATGTTGTCAGGGCCCAGGGCAAGATGCCCCGAGATATCCCACAATGGTATATTGATTATTTCAAACTGAAGTGATTTGAGAAGCAGCAAGAACAGGAAGAGATTTCTGACTCTCTTATATCTCTCTAAATGCCTGATAGGCAGCCTCTCTGCTCCCAAGGGTTGAGAGACAACCTGATCACAACAGTTAAGAAATCCAGCCCTGGCTGCTGTGGCTCAGTGGATTGAGCGCTGGCCTGCAAACTAAAGGGTTGCTTGTTTGATTCTCAGCCAGGGCACATGCCTGGGTTGTAGAACAGGTCCCCGGAAGGGGGTGTGCAAAAGGCAACCACACATTGACATTTCCCTCTTCTCCCTCCTTTCCCCCTGACTAAAAATAAACAAATAAAATCTTTTAAAAACCCTAAGAAAAAAATCCACATTGCAAATTCATTAATAAACGCTCTTTGAAGTGCAGCTTGAGCTTTCAAAGTAAGTGTCCTGGCTTCACATCTGGGGCTTATCCCATTTTACTGATACTGATTTTTAAAAATGTAGAAGAATGAGCTAAACTAATGCCAATGTTGGTATAATAATGCATTCTTAAAAAAATAACTTATTATTTACTAATCATTTATCTTTCATAATATGTGCATTATTACCAATTCTGGTTATTTTGGGGTTCTGGTTACTTACAAACTTATTAGATCCTACTTGAGCAATCTTCTTCCTTTTTAAAAAATATGTTGACCTTTGGAAAACAAAAGACTTGGCGAGTCTATCTCTATAACCAAAAAAGATGAATTTTTATGCACAATACTATTTATATACAAATTAATATATAAAACATTTTTTAAAGATTTTATTTATTTATCTTTTTAGAGGGGAAGGGAAGTAGAGAAGGAGAGAAATATCAATGTGTGGTTGCCTCTTGTTTGTCCCCTGCTAGGAACTGGCCTGCAACCCAGGCATGTGCTCTGACTGGGAATCGAACCGGTGGGAATCGAACCGCAGTTATTTGGTTCACAGGCCTGCGCTCAATCCACTGAGCTACACCAGCCAGGGCATATATAAAACTTTTATTATACTAAAAAAAATCCAAAATCAGAGTAAAAAAATTCTGTATAAACACACCTTGTAGGCTTTACAAATTTACTACCTAAGCTCAAACCTTGCTTAGATTCCTTTCTAATGAATGCTAACTTTGTCCTATTAGCTTCTCATAAATTTACTGTCTCTTCATCTAAAAAAGTATAAAAAGGTGCCTAGTCTGATCATCTCTTTGAGCTTCATTTTATCATAAAATCACATCATATTGTGGTTTTCCAATGTACATGTGTTAAATCCAGTCTTAAATTTCTCCTGTTAATCTAGTCTTGCATCATCGTTATTATTTTATTACTAGTCCAGCTGTAAGCATTACAGAAGGGTAGAAGGGGAGATTCTCCCCCTTCCTGACGATAGCATCCCCAAATTCCTGCTATACACCTGAGTTTCATTGGCTTCCCTTCTTTCATCACCAGGGTAAATTCAAGCTGCTGTCAATGGAGAATACCACCGAGGTGACAGAGTTCATCCTCTTGGGATTAACAGATGATCCCAGTCTTCAGGTTCCCCTCCTCCTGGTGTTTTTGTTCATCTACCTCTTCACTCTGATTGGGAATGGGGGGATGATGGTGGTCATCCACTCGGACCCCCACCTCCACACTCCCATGTACTTCTTCCTCAGTAACCTGTCCTTTGTGGACCTGGGGTACTCATCAGCCGTAGCCCCTAAGACAGTGGCTGCATTGCAGTCAGGGAACAAAGTCATCTCCTACAATGGCTGTGCTGCTCAGTTATTTTTCTTTGTGGGTTTTGCCACTGTCGAGTGCTACCTCCTGGCCTCCATGGCCTACGACCGCCAGGCGGCGATCTGCAGGCCTCTTCATTACACCAGCACCATGACGACAGGTGTGTGCGCCCTCCTGACAGTCGGCTCCTACCTCTGTGGCTTTCTCAACGCGTCCATCCACTCCGCAGATACCTTTAGGCTTTCCTTCTGTGGTGCTAATGAGATTAATCATTTTTTCTGTGACATCCCCCCACTCCTGGCTCTCTCATGCTCCAACGCACACATCAGCAAGTTGGTTGTCATCTGTGTCGTTGGCTTCAATGTCTTTTTCACCCTCCTGGTCATCCTCATCTCTTACCTCTTCATATACATCACCATTCAAAGGATGCGTTCTGCTGAAGGGCGGAAGAAAGCCTTTTCCACCTGTGCATCCCATCTCACAGCAGTGTCCATCTTCTATGGCTCGGTCATCTTTATGTACTTGCAGCCTGGCTCCAACAAGTCTACGGACAAAATAGCATCTGTGTTCTACACTGTGGTGATTCCCATGCTGAACCCCTTGATCTATAGCCTTAGGAACAAAGAAGTGAAAAATGCTGTCTGGAAAATACTCAACAAACTTTATTCCCAGTCTTCAGGTGCGAGAAGGAAGTAGGTGGGTAACTGCGAGGTAAACCTTTCAGACCTAGATGACTTCACGACTTTTGAGGTTTGGCAGATTACATTTTTTTCTTCTTCAAAAACAGTGGTTATTTCTGCTGTTAAGAGAAGTTGTAAAAGCAGCACTTTGAAATGTGTCACTCAAAAAAATAATCTTATTTTTGGTGAACAATAGCATAGGATGTTTGCATTCATCTTGCATTTGTTTCTTGACATGGTTTAAGACAAAAATGAAATGTACTGAACTTTCCCTCCTTATTTTTCGTGGGAAGAAATGTTAACTCATTATTAAAATTTGATGTCAGGATGACATCTTCCTCATATGCTATTTATCAACTAGAATGAACAGTGTGATGCTTTTTGTTTCTTTGGCTCATGAATTTGAAAGTAAAGTTTCTAATGCTGACAAATGTTTCAAGATTATTTTTTTAAAGATTTTATTTATTTATTTTCAGAGAAAGGGAGGAAGAAAGAAAGGGAGAAAAACATCACTGTGTGGTTGCTTCTCAAGCGCCCCAACCTGGGGACCTTCCCAGCAACCTGGTCATGTGCCCTGACTGGGAAATGAACAGTTAATCCTCTGGTTTGCAGGCTGGAACTCAATCCACTGAGCCACACCAGCCAGGGCTCAATGTTCTTAATAATGTCTTACTCAAGGTTATAATTTAAAGAACAGAGCACTGGTCTGAGTCAGGTGACCCAATACTAAATCCTTCCAACCTTCAGCCTTGACAGGGGTGGTTCAGTGGCTTGGGCATTGTCCCATAAAGCAAAAGGCCACCAGTCAGATTCCTGATCATGGCACAGGTCTGCATTGTGGGTTCTGCCCTTGATTAGGGCACGTATGATAGGCAACCAATCAATGTTTCTCTCTCATATTAATGTTTCTCTCCCTCTCTTGCTCCCTCCCCTCCCCTCTCTCTAAAAATAAAATGTAAAAAATCTTTAAATTCTTCTAAGCCTCCACCTTCTGTGCTCACCCACATGCCACTCACTCCCCAGTTGTGCCTCATTGTATTCTCCATCTCCTTCCATGAATGTATCAGAACAAACTCATTAGAAGACAATAAACCACCTACTGTATGTAACAGTTTTAACAGGTAAATTGTTTAAACTTTAACGCAAATAAACATACCTTTTATTAAAAAGTCTGTACTCTGTTCTATGCTTTTAGCCGTTTTCTAACATAACTACAATACTTGCAGAGTTTTGGAGAAAAAAATACATTTCCCCCCAAGGGATATGAAACAGGATATTTGTCTTCTAAATTAAATGCTTGTATATCTCAGCATCCTTAAGTTTGGTGAATCTAGTGTGAATCCACATAATAGCTCTCTGTGCACTCTTTGCTTCTGTTTTTTCACTAATTCAATTCACCTCTGGATCCTTGTTGCTTTTTGATGTCCTGTAATTATATGCTCCAAGATTAAAAAAACCTTTTGGAAATTGACTTCTTAGATAGGAATAGCACAGTGATGCACAGTGCAAGTCCATCAGGTCTTGTTTCATGTGCTAGAGGGTTGAGCAAATGTGTGTATGTGGGAAGGGAGTGGAGATTAATTTTACTACTCACATATCAACTGCCTGCTAGTGTTCACAGTTACAATTAGTTTGTCACCCCATATTTCATGATTTTGAGATCATGAACAAAAAATGTATATTTATTTTAAATGTGAAAACTAGAAATCCTGATGGGCTTAAATCAAGGAAATTAGATGTGAGATGATCAAATTCCACTGTGCATTTATTTTACAATAGCCAAGAGCTTGAAACAGCCTCAGAGCCCATCGGTAAATAAGTGGATCAAAAAAATGTGGTACATATACACAATGGAATACTACACAGTAGAAAGAAAGAAAGAGCTTCTACCCTTGAAGACAGCATAGATGGAACTGGAGCGCATTATGCTAAGTGAGATAAGCAAGGTGGTGAAAGACAAACACCATATGATCTCACCCATATGTGGAACCTAATCAACAAAACAAACTTGCAAAAAGAACCAGAGACTTGGAAATACACAACAAACTGACAATGACCTGAGGGAAGAGGGGAGGGGGATAACAGGGGAAATAAGGGGAAGGGGCAAGAAAGGAAGGTGGATAGAGGACTCATGGACATGGACAATGGTGGGGGATTGACTGTGGGAGTGTGTGGGGCAGGATAGGGGGCTGAGCAATTGGGGAAAAGGCAGGACAACTGTAAATGAACAACAATAAAAACAAAAAATAAATAAATAAAATTCCACTATGCACAGGGCAGCCTCTGTCTGAGAAGGGTTAATCATGAGTCTTGTGGAGAGAGGAGCAAGAAAAGAATTTTGGAACATGAGGTTGGCCTATAAGAGAAGCTTTCTTTGGCATGTGGTCACTATCTCCTGAGATCAGCATCTTCTTCTGGATCACAGGCAGTGACCACCTAGACCTGCCTCATCAATTTTCCTGCCTTCCCCTTTAGCAATGGGACCCATCCAACAACTCACATAGAAGAACAGCCTTTGAAGGCAAGGATCCATGTCAGGTAGGAGTCCTCAGTGACTTGTGGAAGTTACAACGCTGAAAGCTGCCCCAATTTGGAGATTTGGGAAGCAGCTATCCAGGCATTGAATGTATTCAAGTTTTAGCTCAATTTTTTTACTGTTTGGTTGATATAACCGACTCCTCCCTTCCTGCTCCTTCTTTTCTACTTCCTTTATTTCTTCTCCTCCTCATTCTCTCTCTTCTCCTCAATATCTTTCTATCTTCAGCCCAGATTAAGAATTTACCTCACCATTAAGCCATTAGGTCCCTATAAGAAATTAAAGTCTTTAGTTTGCATATTATAATTGTGATATTACATAGTAAGGTGTTTTCTCGGGCATGTTTCTTTCTGCCCCTTTTAGTTCAGACAGAAAAGTGTGTGGTTCTTCTAAGAGTTAAAGGCCTAGTGCCCACATATTTCCATTTTCTTTTCTTTATGTTTTTACTCTATTTTTTTCATTACCATTTAGTCTCCTTATATTTTCCTCCTCACACCACAATCACCACACTGTTGTCTGTGTCTATGAATCCTTTGTCCTTTTGGCTAAATCCCTCCCACATATTTCTATTTTCTGATGAAGTCATCACACACTCATGTTACAGTTGACTGCAAAGGGGTGTAAAAGAGAGTACTAGCTCTAGTATGAAGATCCTTACTTTTCATATCAGTGTATAACCTCAAAAACTCATTTAATCTTTCTGAGCTCAACATGCAGGACACTATGAAGATACATGGGAAAAAGTATGCAAACAAGCTCATCACAATAAATGTGTATCTGATACAGTTAAGATTCCTGGGATAGCTCTCACCTGTCCTTGTACTTACCACTTTCAGCCCCAGAGGACCCTCACTTTCTGCACCACCTCCGAGCTCAAGCCTTTATTTTCAACCGTTGTTTAACTTTCTTTCCTCCAGCCTCCCAGATCTGCAGCAGGCACATTTCAAGCTGACATTACACAAGGATCCATTTACAGAAGCTACTCAAAAGGAGACATCTTATCTGCAGCAAGACATCAATTTATAGAATACACATTACTGTGGAGAGCTTTTTCCCTTTCACATGGGAAATCTGTCAAATGGAGATGAAATGCCCATTTGCCTATTGACAATACCCCTCCTCTCCCTGTAGGAATGGTCTGATGAAAGAGAGACACTGTGAGTAAGGCCTGTGGCTCGAGGTAATTCAGTAGAAGCGTAGGAAGACCTCCTTCCTGAAATGTCCAAAATAGAAAATTAAAACATGTAAATAGGGAAAATTGTTTATATCAGGATAGATATCCTATCCAAAAGTATCAGTAATTAAATTATTTTAAATAGGAGGTTCCCTTTGTCGAATAGATGGTTCATTTATCTTTCTGTGTAGGAAAAGGAAAATTAAAATATTAGTAGTTCTTGACAATTGAAGCTGGCATTACAGAATCATAACTCCAGCCCTCAGAGAGCCTTTAAAATTAATCTCAACCAACCCTTGTGTTTTACAATAGAAGACCTGATTCCCACAGTTTGACTTCCCTAAATGCACAGACAACCAAATAATACTTGACTCTTATTCATCCTGTAACTTCTAGAAATTTCTTGATGTGTGAAAAGACATTTTTGAATTTTTACTTTCATTTGTTCACCCTCAGACAGATTTCTGTGCTTTAATTTTGCAGTTGAGGAAACCAAAGCTTTGAGAAGTTAACTCGCCTACTGTTAGCAAGAGGAGCCCAGATTGGAACCTGAGCCTTGCCTTCTCTGCCAAATTCTCTGAAAAAAGAAAAGTAGCCTTTTATTATAGTATATTTCAATAGAGGACATATTTGATGTATAAATCATTTGCAGACACTCTTTTATGATAAGTTCCTGCGGTGTGAAGAAGCACTCTGGAGAATACAAATAAAAGGCTATATAAGATGTAATTTTTACTGCAACAAAGTAAATCCTCCTGTATGTATGGTGACTGATGTAATGTTCTTAGAGATTAATGACTCAATGTTCAACAACTTTGTCGGCAGGAATTTTCCCTACACTCTAAGGGACCAAGGTACATTTGTTTTAGCCTTGGTAGTTGGCATTGGCTTTTTAAATGTTGTAGCCCACAGACAAAGCCAAGTTCCATCCAGTGTTTACCGGGCACAAGCTGCAGGAAAGGCAGGTGCGAGATTTGCAAAGGAACCAGCCCATAGGTGACCAATCTCGTTTTTGCTTTGAAAGCAGCATGTGGGCAGTGCAGTAGAACAGGGCACATACATCTCTCTAGATGATGTATGTGCCCTGTTCATAGAGAGATGACAATTCAAAGTATTTATGGTCATTGTCTAGTGAGTAAAATAGAAAATAATAATCAGAATTCTTCATAGACGAGAAAGAATTCTGTGGGTAGGGGAAGCTCCCTGGTAGAATTTGAGCCAGGTTTTAAAGGGATAATGCAGAAAGAGCCCAGAATTCCAAAGTAGGAGACTTAGCTTCTAGTCAAAACTCCTACCACCATTTGTA